AAAAAAAAGGACGTGAAAAGAAAGTTAACGATAAGAGATAAACCTTTTTTCTTAACTTTATTAAGTAGTGGTAGTAGTGGTAGTGGTAGTGGTGGTAGTAGTAGTAGTGGTAGTAGTAATGGTAGTAGTCAGAACTTAAAGAAAATCTTCTTCTAGAGTATCATTTGACTAATGACGATCGTTTCGAAAAATCTATTTTCCCGAGATTTTCAAGCTTTCCTCTTGAATTTATAAAAAAAAAAAAAATCCCCGCGTAAAAATTTTCATCTTAAAGTACTTTTTAGATGATAATAATAATAATTTTTTCAAGATAATGATAATAATAATAATAATTTTTTTCTCTCGTATTTAGCGTTTTAAAATAATTATTTCAAATTAAATTTTTAATAAAATAATATTAATATTAATATCTTTTCATTAATAATCATCATCATCATCACACACTTCGTCTACCATACGTACCTTAAATTTATCGTTTGTGTAAATCAATTAAATTATTATATTATTATTATTAATATTAATGTTTTTTTTTTTTACCGCGTTCGTTTATTATTAATGTTAATATAAAAATCATTTTATTAAAAATTTTTTTTTTTTTAACTGGATTGTGTTTATTATTGGATAAAATTGAAAAGTTTAAAAATAATTTTTTTTTCAACCCCATAAAACTACCCCGAAGCGATAATAATAATATTAATGATAATAATAATAATAATAATAATAATAATAATAATTAAAAGATTTAGAGTTTATTTCTTTTTTTTTATGTAAAAGGGTGTGATAATTGTTAAAGATGAAAGAAAGGGTTGAAGGGACCGCAGGGGTTGGATTAATAAAATCACGCAACAAAGACATCTTATTTATTTTTTGTTAATCGGTAAATTGACTGTTAAAAAACATAAAAAAACATAAAAAAACATAAAATAACATAAAATAAAAATGAATTAAAACAAGTTTTTCTTTTGTTTTTTTTTTTACGATTTTCTTTTTGAAAAGAAAAAATAAATAAATAAATTTTATATAGTAATTTTTTTATTTTTCTAAATTTTTTTCTTAACGTTTTAAACGTGTAATTAATAGGAAAAACGTGTCAGCAGAATCATAATTAATAAACGAGGGAACCAAAACGGTTGAAATTATTTTAAATTAAATTGAATATTTTTTTTTTTTTTTTCAAAAGAAAACTCCAGAGAAAAAAATGTGAATAAATAACGAATTATGAATAAATAAATAAATAAACGACTTAAAAAATAATAATAATAATTTTTTTTTAAAATGGCGGACGAAATAAAATTTTACTTATTTAAAAAAAGAAACAGGCTATTAAGTTGAAAATAATTTAAAAATAAAATTAAAAAAAAAGAAAAAAGAAAATTTAAAAGTTGAAGTTGACTTTGTTTGTTGTCAGCATTTTTGAGCCTTTTTTTATTTTGACTTTAATTAACGGATTAACGATAATCCTAATATGAAATGATAATTAAATTGAATTTGACCCGCTCCTCCTCTCTCTCCTCCTCTTCCTCCTCCCCCTTCTCCCTCCTCCTCCTCGAAAAAAAAATTTTCATTTCGAAAATCCAATTTTAACTAAAAAAAAAAATTTTTTTTTTCCTCCATTTTATTTTTTTTTTTTTTTTTACCCAACGAACAACGGTGATGATCAAACAAACGAATGCCAAAACGGACAGTTGGCAAATTAATATGACGACGATGATAATGATGATGATGTTGATGATGATGATGATGATAATAATAATAATTTAATTTCACACGGATTTTAAACGCGATAATAATATATGTGGTAGAAATATTGGCACCAATGAACGGACACGAAAATGACAAATTTTCTTTTTTTTTTTTTTTTTTTGATGACACGTACGAACGTTTTTTTTTTTTTTTCAATTTTTCAGACGCACAATGATAATAATAATAATAATTTTTTTATCCCCGTTCGAAAATCACGTTGCACGTTAATACGGTTTAAAAAAGAAAAAAAAGAAGAGAAAAAAAATACGTGAACGATGACAACAACAATATTTTCAAAAATCGAAGAATATAATTCGATTCGATTCGATATAAAAAATTTAAATTATTCGATTCAATTTTCGATTTAACGATTTCGATAATCACCAAAAAAATTTTCTCATCATCTTTTAATGCGATAAATCGGAAAAGAAAAAAAAAAAAAAAAAAAAGAAACGTACGTTTTTTCAAAGGAAAATTATACTTGAATAAAAAGGATTTTTTATTATTATTATTTATACATAATAATAATAATAATAATAATAATAATAATAATAATAATAATAATAATAATAATAATGATAATGATAATAAAGGTTCGAAAACCTTTTTTTTAATAAAAAAAAAAAAAAAGAATTAAAATTTTCTTAACATTTGTAATTAAAAAAAATTTTTTATAATTCTTTACCCTGATTTATTACTAATTTATTTTATTTTTCCCTTCTCTCTCTCTCTCTCTTCCTCCCCCCCATCTCCCTTCTTTTTTTTTTTTTTTAATTAATTTTTAGTTTCATACCAAATTTAAAACTTTTTTTTTTCTTTTTCTGCGCAATAATAATAATGATGGTGATGATGATAATAAAACATATTTATTAAATAAAAAAAAAAAATTTTTTTTTTTTTATTACCTTTACAAAACAAAAAAAAAAAAACGGCGTTGATGTCGGGTCAAAACTTTTACTTAAATGAAGAGAAAAAAGGATGAAAAAAAAAAAGGTATTAAAAAAAAAAAAAAAAGTTAAAGGACCGTTGGGAAATTATAAAAAAAAAAAAAAAAAAAATAGATT